AGTGTGATCCGAGATCCCTGCCCTGGGAAGGTGGAGATGCATCCCAGACTATAGCAGCACATTCAAAGGTATTCCTTAAATCCTAGTCTGATGCCTAAGCTACCAAAGGACCAACCAGCTTCCAAGTGAGAGTCTCCCATTGCCCAGGGAGCCAGGGAAGGGGCGAAGGGGGAAGGCACTTTTTCGGGATGAGAAGAGAGCAGCATCCAGGCCCCACAGCAAGGAATGCCACATCTCCTCCCTCCCTATTTCCCAGCAGTTAATAAATTAAGCAGCTCTGTGGGCCAGCGAGATCTGAGGGGACGGTGCCCAAACCTGCCCCCTCCCAAGGCCAGGACCCTCCTGCCGTCCACACAGGAGGGGAACACGTCCCCAAATATCCCGAATCCAACAGCAATAACAAACAAGCCCCACAGTTCCCCTCCCAGCAGAAGCAGCCACACAACTCCCCCCGGAGCTGCAGGAATCTGGCACGAAGCAATGGGGACTGGGGGGCCACCCTGCAGGTCCAGAGCCCCCCTGCCCGGGGGGAAATGGGGGAGTATCTCCCTCCTCCAGGACATGCAGGTCCCTCCCACGGCCCCACAGCCCCCGGCTGGGGGAGGAGTTGGGGGTTTGGTCCTGCAGGGCAGGTCAGGGCTCGCTGTCCGTGATTTGTGGTCCACATGGGGCTGGAAGTCACCGTCAGCACCCCCGAGAGCCAGGGAAACACCAACACAGAAACAACTCCAACTTCTTTCGGGGTCCTGCTCCCCTCCCCAGCATTCTTGTGCCCTGACACCACAACACCAGTCGCTTCACCCCAAGCCACCTGCAGTGGCTGCCGAGCGGCTCCGAGCACAGACCCTGCTCCACACCCCAGCGGGAGGGAGGGATCCCTGGCAGGCAGAGGCAGGGTGGGAGGGATGCAGCGAGCTGGGGGTGCCCAGGGCGAGGGGCGGCTCTCGGGGACAGGGGCTGGTCACAGGTTGACGTCAGTGACGTCTGTGGGGGTGCTGGTGGGCTGGCTGCCCCCGTACGCCGCCGCCTTGGCGCTGAAATCCTGCTGTGACTGCGACGCCTGCTTTAGGCTCTCGGCTAGAGCTGCCTCGATCTGCTCCTGACAGGCCTTCAGGCAGTCCTGGGGAGAGGGGGACACACAAGAGGCTTCAGTTCTCTGCTCCTCGGAGGTGGGAGCCTTAGGGATCACTCCGAGCTGGGAGCTGCATCTC